ATATAAATAAAAAATTAAAAATATTATAATATAAAATAAAAAATTAAAATTTATAAATTTATTAAAATAAAATACTAAAAAGTAAATTTTTGCGATCACGATTTCCATCTCATCTCACGTTTGGAATGTTTTGCATCTTGCAGATTTGACTTTTGAGAGCCAATCAAATGCGAAATGCCCTTTTTTTCTTTTTCTTTTTTTTTTGTTCAGATCCCATCCAACGGGAGGAGATCAATCATGATAGTGTAAATCCATGATCCATGAACCAAAAGGTACCTACCACCATCAAAATACCAGTCAACCCCTACAACTAGTGTGTGTTCAATCGGATCATGGCTACGGCCCTACGGATCATCACTGTTTAGTCTGTTCTCCTCTGGCCCCCTACATTGACTGATTAGTTGAGAGGCTGACACAAAATCACATGTGATGATGGTTTTAATTTGCATACGCATACATACCCACAAAAATCCACCGGAAGCAGAACATGCGCCGCCCTTTGAATTCGGACACAGATTATTGGAAGCAATATTTTTTTGTTTTCCGACCGGTATTGAAGGCTTCGCACCGATTAATTTACATTGACATGTGTTGTGAACCAAAAAAATAATGGTTGAATCTTCCAATAAAAACTGTTACGTATATAAGATTTTAAATTCAAAATTTTACTTAAAATAAAACAAGTGGCTTATTATTTAATCCAACTTCGTCGTGATTATTGGAAGCAATTACTAGTATGAATTCGGACATAGATATATATATATTTTTTTTTGTGACTTTGTGGAATACGGGGAAAGGAGAGTAGGGACCTGGGTTAGAACCCACATCTTGAGTGTCCTGGCACGTTACCTCCAGGGGTGGTCAGTTAGCTACTTTGTGCCGGACCGGACATAGATTATTGAAAGAGAGGAGAGAAGAATTTTATCATTTTATTCTCTTTTACTGTATTTTTTATTTAGATAGATTAATAAATTAAAAAATAAAATGAAATAAAAATTTTCTTCCTCTTCTCTTTAATTTTTTTCATAATTAAAAAAAAAATGTATCTTCTTCTCTCCTTCCTTTTTTTTTTAAGTATAAGTTAATGATATAATTAAATTAATATTTTTTTACAATTAATTTGTGTTAAAGGTGTTGATTTTAATTAATTAAAATTATTTACGTATCAATAAATTTAAAATAAAGGTTAACTTTTACCCATTTTTAGATAAATTAATTATAAAAATATATTTATTGTACCTTTAATTAATACTTTAGAGGAACATATTAAGAATGTAATTAATATATAAAGTATTTTTCAAATATTAAAAAAATAAAGTTAAACCTTAAATTTATTAACTAACTAATTAAATTAATATACGTGATATTAATGCTAAATTTGATCACTTTTTTTTTTGTTTTTCCATAAACCTTAATTATTAAAAAGTGTATTAATTATTTTTTTTACTTATACTTTAAAAATATGAGTTAGAAAAATCTTTTTAAAGTATATCTATTGAAATAAAAGTTTTATTTACATAACTCATACTTATTAATTTTCATATGAATTTTTTTTTTGTTATTTAAAAAAAATTGTATGTGTTATTTTTAAGTGAAATAGGCTCTCAATTGTCAAGATAAGAGAAAGACTTGGGCACAAATGAGAATGAATAAAAATATCAAGGGCCCTTTAGCAAAATAGTACCTAATTTTTCCAACAGTTGGGAAATCTTGCAATATATTCATTTATTTGACTACACATTTTTCTTTATTCCTTTCCAACAGCACTTCTGCTTGTCTCCTCTTGACTTTCTACATTTCACTCTGTTTTAGCGGAAAACCGAGCATCCTCTGTTTCAGTTCTTCAGTTTCATCCATCAATGGCATTCTGCATTTGAATTTGACCGCCGTGTGCTCAAATGGGTTGCTGCATAAGCACTGGGGGAGCTGCTTCTGATGGAAAAGCTCAGCAATTTCCGTCCGTAGGTGAATCTTTTTACCAAAAACCCGCTCTCGAGAACAGAGCGCCGCCACCGTCGTTTGAAGAAGAAACTGTGAAAGAAGTTCTCTCGGAAGTCCCGAAGCCGAAACCGCCGCTCACCGTTCCTGGAGAAGAGGAAAACAAAAGGCCTCAGGAACAGAAACCCGTTGTCGAGAAGATCCCAGAAGAAGAATGCATTAGCTTCAACAGGATGGTCCTGAAGTCGCCGACGAGCACTAACCGGAGTGCCGCCATTGAAGATTCGGTGTCCGAGGATGTGTCAGAGATTTGCAGCTTGAGTGAGAGCATATCAACGACTACAATCACTGACAGAAGGGACGAAGAAGAGGAAGTGAGACAAAGGGTGTACAGATCTCCAGGAAGATTAGCGCCCAGAACTCGCAATTCAGCTCCCAGGCGAGACCGGGTCGTGGGCAGGTCCCCAACCAAGAGACCCAACCAATCGCCTGGGAGAAGAAACGGTGTCATCACCGGCGGTTCAGTGAGAATGGTCCAAAGCAGGGAGCCAGGTCAAGCCACAGCAAGGCGCGGGTCAAGACCTTCCCCAACAAGAAGGGATCCAAGTGAGAGTTCCGAGAGAAGGTCAAGGTCGCCGGCGGTAAACAGATCCGCAGTGGGTCGTAGCCCGTCAGCCAAACGCGCAATCCGGTCTCCCGGTCGAGTCAGGACTGAACCGGTGAAGATTGGTAATAGCCAAAAAGTGGAGGAGAATAGCAATTTGGAGGGGAAATGGCCAAGTAGTCATGATAATTCCACTCCAAATAGCACTGCAAATGAATCCCTTGAAAACCCACTTGTATCTCTTGAATGCTTCATTTTTCTTTAGGGAGAAAAAAAAAAAAAAAAACTGTTTTACAGTTTCTGTAAAACAGCCAACTCCAAAAAAATAAAAATGCAATTAGCTTTAGTTTTTATTTTTATTTTATTTTATTTTATTTTTTCTGGCTATTCAAGTAGCTTTAGCTTAATTATGAACCTTTTTCTATGTTTATTTGAATATATGAATTTCAAGGTCAGGATGGGGGTTTTGGGAAGATTTTCTGGTAATTTTGGATACTTGGATGAGCAATGCAATGCCATGAATTTTAACCCGTGATTCTGTCATTTTCTACTAAATATTCACCGTCCTCTGTAGTACTACGGAAAGGCATTCAATTTGCTGCCAAATTATTGTCCTTGGCATTTACCTCAGAGGTTGCCTAACTTGGGTTTGATGTTATAAGTATATTTTTTATAATTAAATTTTATAAAAATAATAAAAATTAATTTTTTATTTTAATATGAATTCCGATATCTGATTTGTGTGGTCATTAACTCATTATATAATGTTCCACCTGTATTATTTTCCACTTATGTTATTGGGGTTCGAGCCATGTTGTTCCTCGTTCTCTCTCTCATTCTCTCTGGGTACAAAAATTTTTATTTTAATATTATTAATGTATAAATAATTTTAATTAATTAATTAAATTTAAATTATTTTTATTATTTTTATATAAATTTAAAAATATATATTAATTTTTACTTTTAAAAATTAAAATTAAAAATTAAAATTATTTTATTTTATTAAAATTTAATTTAAATTTTAAATTTTTGTTTTATTAAATATTAATATTTAGATTTTAAAATTGATTGAATTTATGAATTTTAAATTAATATTTCAATTTTTAAATATAGATTGAGATATTAAGTTTTTAAAAAAATCAAAATTGATATGCACTAATTTTATAAATTAATTATAAAAAATATATTTATTATTCTTGTAATTTATGTTTTAAAAACATAATATATAAAACCCTTACATCTTTATTACTACCTGGAAAGTGAAAACAGAGGCTTCAAGTCTTCAGGGCTCAAGCCTTCATTTCATAATTTCATTAATGATAACATCAATATGAAAAGGATGGTTGTTTTCAAAGTTAGAAACTTGTTTTTGGGTGGGAAAAAGGTTCTTTAGTTACAGGCTAGTGGCCACGGCAGTTCTTTTTTTCTTTTTTTCTTTTTCTTTTTTTTTTTTCTTTTTAGAAGAGAAAGTGTTATAAAATTTTAAAATTTTTCATGATTTGGATTAGATAAAGGAAATAATTATCCGAGAACATTCTCTTCAACATTTTTGGGTGTGCTCCTAGCAAAAAATCTACAAAAGAATTTTCAAAAGATCCAATCTTTGGAAAATCTGCAAGAAGATTCATATACTGCAAAAGCCGAAAAGAGAAAAAGTGTTTACTTCCAAAATAGATTAATAAAATTTAAATTTTAACCTTCCTTTTTATTTGAATTCATATTATTTTTTACATTTTTAACTAAAAAAAAAAGAAAAAAAAGAAAAAAACACAAACAAACAAACTCTTTAGTTGAGTGGTCCATATATTAGCCAAACATGCTGTATCTATGCAAGAAACTTTTGTTTTTTATGTTATTTTATTTTGTTTTTGAGTTTTGTATTTTTTTGTTTCTCTTATGATTTGGATAGTTGTATCATGTATTGAACTAACTTTTGCACTTCTTTTATTTAATTAATGTTATTTCTATTTGCACTAAAAAAAAAAAAGAAGAAAAGAAAAGAAAAAGAAAAACTCTTTGGTTGATGACTCTATATCTAGAAGAGTACTGCAATTTAGGTTTAAAAAGAGCCAAAAGCATGTATCAAATTACAGGCTTAAGAGGAAAAGAGTTTTTTTTTTATCCTTCTCAATTTCAAACGGATATTCAAAATTCCAAACCCATTTTCTTTCCATATTTATTTTCTTTGTACCGAAATCTTCCACATTAATAAACTTCAAAAATGAAATTTGGAGATGAAGGGAGGGAAAACTGAGAGCCCATGTTTATAGCCGTTAAAGCTTCATAAATGTTCTTATCCTGTTTCACGTTTTACAATTAAAAGAGCAATCTTTTGTGTTCTCTCTCTTACGAAGGCAAAGATAGGATGGTGAAATGTCAGTTACTTTGGACTGTTTCTTCTACTAGTTCTTTTTGCTCATAAGACGAATCAGATGGAAATATATTATATACTTCCAAAAATTTCAGCTTCTTTTGTTCTTATATTGTAGATTGTCTAATTGCCAAAGATTCTAGGGGTTTGGCTTTTCCTATATTACAAATAGGACAACTCCCTATTCATTGGATTTTAGTTCCCGCTCCCCAAAGATTGATTGGGATTCGTTGTGGTGATAAAATCGCAAGGTTGAAATATGAAATCTTTTCGAAATTTAAAAAAAATTGAAAACAACGTCTGTTATGAGTACCATGAGAAGAAATTGAAGTTCAAGGTTTCATGATCTCTAACCAAGTCAGTTATGTCAAAAGAAGAAGAAGAAGAAGAAGAGAAGAAGAAGAAGAAGAAGAAGAAGAAGAAGAAGAAGAAAAAACCATTGTTGTAGTTGGAGCAGGTAACAAGACCACTTCCTTTCCGTGGATGGTACCCGGGGTTTGAGTCCGGATGCCCTCCTCCTCCTCCTCTTGTCCCCATAGCTCAGGCCTTTGTTTCAACTTTCAAGGGCAATTAGCATTTTGCAAAAGCTTTTATTCAAAGCTTGAGTTTGGGCCTTACTCTTGTCCCTACCCTGTCCTCTTCTTGGAATCACAATAATCTTTTTGGGCCCAATAAAGAGTGCCTTAGAACCCAACTTGGGCAGGTAAAAGCTAAAGACGCTGCAATCCCAATTTGCTTTGAGGAGGGTGAGAAAACCATTTCTCATGTAACATGTTCAAAGGGAATCAATACAACATTTAGTAACAACTTAAGTAATTCAGTAATAGTTCAATAATAATCTCCTTTTATAATTCGAGTTACATAACTTATGATGGGATAGGTTAAGAAATGAGAGTAGATAACATGCAATAAGATGGATTAAAGAGTGAGAAAAAATTGTTTCCTTTTGTGCAATCCAAAATCAAGAATAAAATAAAACATCATGGAATGAGCTAGACGGCACAATTTCCCCTTTTTCTGAACAGCAAGAGTGCTAAGGAGTAAAGAGAAAGGCAGAAGCAGGAAGTGCCGGTTTCTAATAAGCTAGTTTGTATTTCAATTTTGGTTCATATTCAAAACAAACTGCCCTGAAAACTCCTTCCATATTCAACAATGATTTATATATACTTTTCACTTTTACAACCACAGATCCATTCAATTTGCAACAATCCGATCCATCTTCAGTATTCAAATCACATCTCCTGAACAATCCTAAGATGGAGGAAATAAAAGCCATGGCGAGGCGATTTTGATAATGCCTTGTAGACCTACTCATAAAAAACTAATGATATGTACACAATACAAGGAGCTCATGGATAGAAGCTAAAAAAGGGGCAACCTCCGGAGCAGACAACACAAGACTTTCTTGCAATGTAAAGTAGCATGAACTGGAGAGCCATTGTGGTTCTGGATGAATGTAGAAAGTCGGGATTAGTTTTCTTGGGCTTGGTTTGGGTTTAAGATGGTTCATTTTGGGGCAGAGTGGTAGATGAAGGGTGCTGTCCGTGAGGCAATGAAAATGGTTCTTGGGGACAGGGTTTGGGAGCTGGGTGTGCAATGAAGGTTGGAATGTCATCTCCAGGCATCAATACAGAAACTCCATTAGCATATAAAGTCATCTGCACACATTAAAAAGGAAACATAAGCAGGGAATTGAATGACAAAAACGCAAGAGCTATGACTTGAGAGTGGTAAAATGAGCATGCATTCAGAAATTCTAAAAAAATAAAAAGTATATCATCGATTCATGACAAAAAAACAGAAAACAAATTATATATTATCCTGTTCAGAAAATATACCTACAAGAAAGCCATGGCCACAACAAATGCTCTAGTTTTTATAACATAGCTAGAATAATGTATAGGACCAAAGGAGAGGGTGTTATAAACAGACTATCTCCTTTGCCTTCAGTGAATTGAAGGGAGAGGAGACACTGGCCCTAATCATGTCAATCTACTTCAGCATATAACTAAATCAATGAAAAGGAATTGGGAGGTGGACTGTATGCGTACACATACCTAATACCTACAGGAAGGGAATTCATGTGCTGATTGGTTAGCCAAAAATGGCTTCCAGCAACCTATTGGTCTGCTTCCTATGGCATGGGCTCCAGCAGAACTCCACATTTTACTAGCACATTGCATGGGAGTTAGTCATCCTAGGCTTGTAATTACTTAGTTTCTTCTGCTTTACTCATGGTACCAAAAACTGGGACAATGTATACATGACTGAAGGCCCCCATCCTAAAAAGCAACCAAGTTAAGCATCCCCTGACAACTTAAAACTCACATGACAGAGTGTAATCACCTAACATGTTAAACTGAATTGATAGATAAACCCTACAAGAAATTTCCTGGTTCTTGACAAACAAATAATAACAAAGTTCATAAATTCAGATCAGATTGTGAACTCAGTGGAAGATTGTAAATATCAGCCCAACAACCAGCTTCTGTCTTTGTCCTCTAAGGTTATAACAGAAAAGATTGATGTGAATTTAAAAACATATATTTATGAAGATTGTGCTAATATTAGCACCTAATTGTTTATCTGCTCCTCTCCTGTAATGCATAATAATTTTTGGTATCACAATTAGGCATGACAAGTTCCTTGGACATCATGTTAACCCAGTTATGTTCTCTGAAGTAGAGGCAGTCTCCCTAATAAGGCTAACTATATACTTCCAACACTGAACCAGGGAAAATCAATGCCCCCCATAACCAATTACCACAAACCATACTTGGGACATCATGTCTTTTAAATGGAAAAAGTCCCATTTCCAACATGGGTCTTGAGCACAATTTGACAATGGAAATGGTATGTGAAGTGATTGGACCTATCACCAACAGACCTCATGGACCGCCTCCAACAGTGACAAAGAATGAATGATTTAGACCAATCTAATTAATTTCAAAAGCTTTATGTAAAAGATGAGTAAAACTTCTTTTATATTCCAAGGGAAAAGATGAGTAAAAGCACTGAACATCCAGATAAAGAAATAGCAAAACAACTTTTATGCCCCACGGAAGAATTAGCCCTAAAATTGAACAATAAGCTCACAACAGTAGGTTGGTGGGCCTTGTGTGTTTGTTGAAAGTTATGACACAGGATGGATCACCGATGCATTGCATTCACATGATATAGGGACTACTCCAACTAATTCTCTAGGAAACATTAACCCAAACTACGGTACTGAATCTAATTAACTTGTTTATCTCTATAGTAATCATTAGCCATGCACTCCTAACTAACATAATCATCCAAATATCAAAAATCCAAACTTCAACTAACATTGAGAGACTAAGCAAGAGTACAGCAAATAAAAGCTTCTAACATGGTCAGTCCAAGACAAAAAGAAGAGTCAAGAGCCATGATTGATGAGAAATTCTGTTCACGGAAAAGCAACATTAGACCTAATGCAACAGGAATCAAGAAAACAACTCAAAACAGCAAGTCAAAAACTTTGATTTATAGGGAAAGTAACAGAGACTAGGATCTTAGGAAAAATAGGAACTAGAAAAATGAAACAGGAGATGAAGCTTTATGTCAGACTCACGAATTATGGCTGTTTTCCAAAAACCATATCAAACACATTGAAATGGCGCAAAAGAAATCATCAAAATTTCCCTCAAAAGAGTGAAAATGAAATGTTTGAAGATCCAAGAAGAAAAAAGGCACTTTTCCCCAAGAAAAATTTACACTAATGAAACAACTAATCCAAACACAACCCAGAATTGGAAACAACGAGGTGTACAGTAAAAGGGGATTGAATGATCACTTACTTTCGGTGAGGGGTGACCCATCTTGCCGTTGAATTCAATCTGGGGCTCGAGGTCATGGCTCCTGCCAGCGGCTGAGGAGTTGGGTCTGAGGAATCTCTCAAAGATCGCCATGACTAAGAACATGGAGATGAGAATGGCAGTCGCCACGAATCCAAACGAAACCGCATTAACCGAGCTGTCGAAATGTTTCCATTGATCCTCCGTCTGCACACCCACCGGAGCTGCCACCGGTGCCCAACAAAACCCACCTCCCCGACCCATTTCTCAGTTCCAAGCACAACCCTCAAAGCACTCTCATTTCTAGTTTGAGAGAAACAGAGGAGAAAGACGGGATTTTTAGCAGTGTTGAAACTTTAAACCAGAGCTTTTTGAGTTTGAGGGGAAGCACTTGAAAACTGCTTAAATATTTCTAGCTTTGGAGAAGGGCATGTGAGCAATAGCTATCTTTACAGGGAGGTAACCCCGTGGAGGGATGAAAAAGACAGCTTTGGAATTTGGAGAGGGTTTTTTTTTTTAATTATTTATTTTTTAGTGTGACAGACAAGGACAAATTGATTCTGGGAATTGGCAAAGCTGAAGAAAATCTTCTACTACTTGAGATTGGCTCCTCACAAGGTTTAAGTTACCAAAAAAAACAGTCCTTTGAAGTAAAAAAAACAGAGCACATTGAAAATTTAACAAGTTTTATTTTAAGTCCCAATCCCAACAAACAACTTTGGATTAAAAATAACTAAAAAGTTGCATATATTAATTTATTTAATGTTATTATATAAGGAATTGTAAGATTTTATTACATTAAGCTCTAAAAATGTCCTTAAA